TGTATTTCACTATTTCTCGTTTTGATCAATACTCTGTCCCAAAATACTGATTTTAAAGCAACTTATAAATAATATATTTTTGAAAAGTATACGTTTTTAATTCTGGTTAGCGTTTTTTTTAGCGAGTTAGTTTTCTACGGGATGAGGACGCTAACCCCATGCCCAACCCTCCTCCTTTATCCAGGCTTGGGACCGGTAGTAGCCCCCGGAGGAACTCCAGGCGGAGTTTGAAAAGTATACACTTCAAATTATTGTTATCACTATTATAACCTAGTAATTTATATCAAACTGATCATAGTTGTAAACTCTAGTGCATTTTATAATTGACTGGCAAACATTATGTGCTGATTTTTAGAATCTATCTTCCTTTATTATTATTATTATTATTAATGATAAAGATTGAACCTTTTTAGATTGATAGCAATAAATAGCGTAATGATACATATAAGGATCATAAATGGCGCGAAATCATGTACTAATGATCAGACTTTGAATGAATAAATCTATTCAAATAATAATCGTTAAAATTACTTAATAAGAAGTTTGTGAAAATTATGTTTTTATTCGAGCTTTTACCTATTTTCTATGTCCATATATTTGTTCATGTTACTATGCTATATACATATAAATTTTATTGTATATTAGAGTTATGATTGATGGGGATTTAGTGTTAAACAATATTATTAGTTTATTATATCTTACTCTTATTATGACAGTTATATGTAACTAATTCTTTATGGGTATATACTAAAAGGAGAAAAATATTATTGTATTGATTTACCATAAGATATGTACTACACTGGAGATTATTTATTCAGCTGCATGGCTCATCACCTATTAAAACAAATGAAAATTGACAAATCTGTCAATTTCAATTGATGTATGTACATCTAACTGACGAGATCAAAATACGACAAGGCTCACGTCCTGGATCTCACTGCTAGCCACTATCTTCCTTTGCTCATAAAAATTCTCTGTTGAGAAAATCCATGAGTTGGTCATATTGTTATCGAAGATATTAACACTAGAGTAAACTGAGGGAATATACACCTGAATACATTTTAAAATTGTGTATGGGTATTTCTTGACTAGTTAAGTGCTAGCACTCTAGCACTAATTAATCTTAAAATGTTATTTATACTATTTATCTCCTTATAAAGTAGTTAAGATCTGTAATAAAAAATAAAGTGGTCATCTGAAAAAATATCTAAGTAATCGTATTTTTGACAGTCTAACCAAGAACAAAGGTTCTTATTCGAAAGCGATAACAATCAGCGGATAATTATATAGGTAACTTAACAAGTATCTTATTGTGTATCTTATTGCGAATAATAAATAACCTGACTAGTCAAGAAATACCCATACACAATTTTAAAATGTATTCAGGTGTATATTCCCTCAGTTTACGCTATCTTAGTTGTAATACAATGAGCAAATTAAATTTTAGTGTAAACTCAAAGGTTCAATTAATTTAATATTCAAATATTCTTAGTGTAAAGGTGCAATTTGTAAAATCAATTATAAAATATTATAGTTTTCCCACCAGTCATTATAGAAAAACTGTGGAACTTTCCAGGAAATCTGTTTGTTTAGCTTGAACATATTTAAACACTTATGATCACGCTATAGTCAATATGGTTAACTATGACTATTATAACTTTGATTTATGACATGAAGTGGCTATAAAAGTGAGTGAGTAAATAAACACAATATTCAAACACCAATTTAATAAAAAAATATATTTACAGGTTAAAACATATTGTTTCCAGAAGTTCGAAATTCAATATTTTCATATTTAGGAAAAATTCCACTTAGTATCAACACAAGATATGTGACCTTCGTGGTAAAATGATCATTATTTGTCATCAAATCAAATGTAATTTTATGCAGAATAAATGACTTCACCTTAAAGAAGCACAGACCGCCCCACCCTTATCATCCTCCACCTAACTTCATCCTGGCCAATCCTCTCCTCTTGTTTTCCAGTTGCCATTCATTCTTTTCCTCTTCATCTGATAGCTGGTTTGTTTTCATCCATAGTAGGCTGTTAATGATGGTATTTGATCAACGGATATTGAGTATCTACTGTAGACAACTGTAGGAATGGAATCAACAAACATATTGAACACATTCGATTGGGAAAATGTAGAAATCTTAGACAGAGGAAACTCCAAAAACACCAGAGAATTTTTAGAAGCCTGGCACTCAGGTCAATCAGCAATCAACAAACATATTGGAATCAATCCAATTCATCAACCAATCAGAAAAATCATGCACAAACATAAGAACAAAAATCAAACCACTGGAAGACACAACCAAAACAAAGAAGTAAACAATGATAAATTTAAGGTCAACAAGAACCAGTCAACATCGAGGTGCACAGAACAAGCTGTGAAACACATATGGAGAAATTCGAACACCTCACTTCTATCTGAAGTTTGTGCTGATGATGTCGTTCGGAAGAACGATGTAATCTCCACGACCAAACCATCCATCTCAGAGAACAAAACTCCACCAGAATGCAGACCTTACTTTGCCAATCCGTGCCTTTATTTCTGCATCAGATGCTCACTTTTGTAGATATATGTGAACTTATATCTGAAGTGACCTTTATAGTAATTGTTTGTACATTCCCCATTGTTCATATTCAGGACTGCAATAGATCAGCCCCTATTGATATATGTGTGTCCTCAGTGTGATCAACGGTAACATTCTGGTACTTCTCACAGCTGAGTTATGAATTTGATAAAATACCTATCCTGAATTCCAGTTCCAGCCCCAAAATATATATGCTCAAGTGAACACTCAGCTGTCAGCTATAAATATCATGTAAAATTTTATTATAGAAGTAATAACATCCATTTTCAAACTTTCTGTTGTAATTCAGGTGAATCAAGAAGAGAACATCTACTTTCCTATACTTGAAGAATGTTCTATAGAAGTATGATAATATAAGTACAGTAATCTTAATCGTCCATAATAACATACTAAGTTTATTTTTAAACTACTTTATGTGAATATATAAAACTTTGTATGGTAATATCTGAAAATTTACATCTACAGAGCAAAACTCCAGGTAACTAGTTAATAAGTGTTCACCATTTTAAGAAATGACATAATCAGTCTTATAAAATGTGAATGAATTTGAATATGGAATAATATGAATGAATATTAACTCAGTGTATTCACATTCCTTATAAATAATCACCAAATTTACATTTATAGTTTATAGGCACCCATGTTATTTATATAAAAAATTTGGAATTCACTTTCAAAAGTAAATGTTCATATCACATTCATTTAGTTCACTTTATCATTCATTATCATACATACATGGTACAATTACTATGGATTCCTATGTAAGTGACATTTTCCTTAACGTCACCATTTGGCCTAATTAGATCGGTGTTCCCACTCACATATTGGCTACAGTACAATGAACATCTATATTTGAAAACTAAAAATTCTCTCGATGATCTGAAATGGTAATTGAATGTTTATTTCCTACCTGGCTTTCATTATTCTTTACAAATTATTATATCAAGATGTAAGATATTTTAATATCTATACAAATAATCACATTTGTACATTATCTTCATTTCATTGATAAGCTTAATTCAAGACACTCGAATAATATCTATTGTGTGTATCAAGATAGAGAATACACTTTTGAAATTGTAATATCTCGTTCACATGATAGCAACTATTTTAATAGATAGATTGGATTATGGAGAATAACTTATATTGTGTTCATTTTAGTTTGATGTCCTGTTGTTTAATGTTCAAAAAATGAAAAATGATGGTGTTATGATTTTATCATCCAAGTAGTTTTACTTGATAATCTCTTTATTATTTTATTCTAATATTGTATAATAGTAATGGTAATAGTAATGATAATAAGACATTGGCTTGGTGAAATATAATCACGCTCTCACTAAATTTCATTAAAGTACAGTAATCATGTGACAATAATTAATATGATACTAAATATGTATTTCTTCTGAGTTAATTTATGATAATGATGATAAGATTTTTGTTTAATTTGTAATTGTTTGAATTATCCTGTTGTTGATATTATTGACTGAAATTTTATCAGTCTTGGCTAACATATGGGCTTCATGTAGGCAATCCTCGCAAGATGCTAATATGCCAACCAAGAATGATCAAATTTCAGTAAAAAATATCAATAATGGAATAATAATAATAATCAATTAGTGGGATTTTGAACCCAGCGGTATAGGGGATAACGCGATGGTGTCAGAGTAAACATCAGTTGTGAGATACACGTAAATCCAGCTGACGAGTCCAAAATAGGTTGAAATGTTCGTCCTGCTAATCACCTTTCATCTATTTGGTATCAAAGTTCTTTTTTGTTAAAAGCAATAAGAAATTCTGTCAAACATATGGAGTACAATTTCAATGTATATTACTATTCGTAAGAATTTATATTTTTCTGGTTGTTAATATTTAAGATTGAATTGGATCAATCTCTCTTGGGATAAATAATACTTTACTGAATGCCACAATATTGCTCGTAGCTTCAAGTTTATCATAGTTCCGGACAGTTACTAACAGTGGAATACAGAACACACCGTATACACTACTTGCGTCCAGTGCCCTTCACATCAATGTTGATTTTCACACTGACATAGATCCATTAACTATCGCTAGCCTGATGAATTTACATTCTGTCTTTATATTACCAGTAGCACACATAATGCAAGTATGAAAAAAGAGGAAGATTGCTTTTCAGATACTTCAACGAGGTATTACAAAGGGAGTTCATATATGCCAACGTAAAACTTCCTGTATCATTATATCAAGTCATTTATTTAAATGATCACTTTGAAAGTCGGATAGATTAAGTCAAGTTACATTTGAAAATTAATGAATATATATAACACTAGTTAGATTTAAGCTTCCATTACTATATAAGTAAACAATTTTGGTCATTAAGCATTTTCATTATATTTACATTTCATTATATATATTACATAATAGTTGATAGATAAATTAATCATGGAGATGAAATTATTGGAACAAGTATAATGAGTTTTTCTTTTTTCGAATTGAATTTTGCTTCTGCTAAATCAGTTTCAATTTTACAAGGTAAACGAAGATCTAACGGATAAAATTCAACAGATGAATCCACAACTTCCAATTTAACTCGATTCTATAAAATTTTATATTTTAGAAGATAAATAAAAAAACACAGATATTGAAAAAAGGTCGTACGTTTCATATCTAGTTATTAATGTATGAAATAATTCCTAATGAAATAAATTTTTCGGAAGAAAGATCAATATTATTGCTCAGGTAGTTTATGAGATAACAAGAAAAATCAGCCGTTACTATGTTTACAGATAATAAATGAAAATCGATATATCATTGAGTAAAAGATTCATTTTATATTTTTCTTTAAAATTTAAGCCATTCATAATTAATTGTAGAACCACATTATTTGCTATATTGTTGTACCATTCTCATTGCTTTCGATTTCCCACTATTCTTATCGATTTATCTGTTGATAGTTCAATGACTGTTTCTTTAAATATTCAGCCCACAGTACTCTCATATTCTTTAAATAGATTAGCCATGATTCGCTTGAACACAGCATATAGGTTTGATTATCTGTGTCAGGTTGGTTCTTCACTCAGTGATTTCATGAAGACATTTAATTACGTGAAACGAATTTTCACCAGTTACAGAATCAGTGGAATCTAGGGAAACTCGGAAACCATTTAGTTCTTATTCGAGAATCAATGCCAATGTCAACCCTCCTCCAACCATTTATAGAATCCAATCCATTAGCATTGAGTAATATAGGATTGAACCACCAAATTGGGTACTTTATTTCTTTCAGTTAAGTTATTATGTCAAAAGGGATTACACAATCATTACTGAAGTAAATATCATCATAAAAACACAAACTTAAATATGCGGAACGTTTATTACAGAAATCGTTCTTATGCACGGATTAATGTGTAACTGTTTATTCAGTGAGTCATAATCCATAGAAACATTTTACTCGTTTAAACTTTGCATTTATGATGACTATAAATTGTTATTAATTTCCATTTATAATCAAATGAAAATGTTTATCAAAATGCAATGAATTCCATGTGACAGCTAATAGAATTTGAATTTTTAAATAAAATATGGCCGATTAATAAAATAATATTGAATAATTATACATATGGGAGATGTATATTTATAGCTATACTTAAAATTACATACATATAGTGCAGCAATTCGTTGCCAAGAGATTTCTTCACCGAATTTTTATTTTATTTTAGAGTTTAAATTGGAATATGTAGATATATTTATTAGCATTCACTTAGTGTTGTTTTACTCGTATCTTCCCATTGTTATTTAGGACTGTAATTGATCTGTCTCTTATTGGTATATGTGCATACTATGCATATTGCCTCGATCTAGCCTTAAGTCACAAGGTTTTTAAGCAATGATGGATAATGGCTAGCAGTGGAATCCAGAACGCACGTGTCGTACAGCTGACGAGTCCCAAACAGGACGAAACGCGCGTCCTGGATTCCATTGTTAGTCACCATCCATCCTTGCTCATATATTAACAGTTTTGAAAACTTTATACGTGTATGAACAGAACAATGATTACTTTAATAGTTAGTGTGAATAATTGAAACTAAGGTACTTTTAAAGCTCAGTGTTAAAGATGTTCAACGGGTCTTAAATTTCTGATATAATGTACTACTATTGCTATTAGATATTATTGGTGTTAAGTAACACACAGAACTCATTCACCTTGCTCTACTAAAATACAAACTATGCCATTTCCTGTGTACGAATTATTATTACTGTCCAAAGGAAATTAGTGTTCAATTTCATCGACTAACAGTAAAAATGTCGATTATTTAGTCTACATGGTTACAGTCCACCGTTTTGTCAGTGAAAAGTCAGTTGATTTAAAGTATAAAGTTTGTAACCTTAATTTATATTGGTGTTTTTATTTATTTAGTAAGTAATTATTTTAGTAATTTCATAATAGTACTATTTTAGCATTAAATTTGACAGTACTTTTTATGTAGTCACTAAAATAAACTTTAATCTATGTATTAAGTGTGTATGGGAAGGAAACTAAATAACTCACTGACAAACTGAAAAGCAGCTTAAAATAAATGAGTCCATGAGGGATTGAACTACAATCTTTCTTATTTTGTTTTTGTATACTTCAACTGTAATGGTATTGGATCCTAACCTCAATCCTCAAAGCTGAACGTGAGATAACTGGGGAAATAGACTTTAAACATGTAATACTAAGAGAAGGTCAATAATGGTGGACGCGGTAACATTTATTTTAAATTCGATTAATCGGATAGCATGGCTCGGGTTTGCAGGAGTGGTCAGACTTATGTAACATCACTTTTATTCATCTTAAGTATATTATTCTATCTACAACCTAAATATGTTCTCTACCATATGTTGGTAATGGTTACGATACAGTGAGTCAGTGTAGACAATGACGTGACTTCCACGTAAGATCTTATAGATTAGGTAGTTACATCATGACAACTCTGCAATCTTATGATTAGATCTACTATTAAAGCAGTACTAATAACGAAGTAGATCATAGTTCTACACAGCCACATACTTCTTTAAGAATGAAACATCACTAAGCGAAAAATTCTTTCCATAAAACCGTACTTAAATGCAAATAGCCTATTGATTAAGGAAAGCATGAACATCTAGTTTTTCAGCATTCTGGCTTTGAATCGGATTTAATCACATCAGTATTTTAAGATGGGTAATAACCGTGTCGAGTTTGAGACAGTTGCTCACCGAAGACAATAATAGATGATTGCGCAATATTGTAGATTGATTGAAGTTAAACATTATCACTACTTCGTGATGGCTCAGTGGTCTAGAGTTTAAACGTTCACGCGCGAGATCAAAGGTCTTGGCTCTGAGTCCCGTGCGCAGTATCATGGGTAAGTACTGACGAGGAGTCACGCAATTGGGCGAAACGACCGTCCAGTGCTTCCAGGTTTCCAATTGTGGTCTAACACTGATCGATTCATGATTTCAGCTAAAACGTCAACAATCTCCACAACTTCATACTGAGTAATAAATAACTGATTCATTGTTACACATCTTAACATTTGCATTTTCAGAGCCCATGTAACAAACAGAAGGGTATTTGAATGAATCCCTTTGAAAAACAAAAATAATGTTTTATTTTTCAGATTAAAATATAATGGACTAATGAAGATTTTATGATGAAAAGAAATAATTTTAGATAATTTCTTACAGCCAGAAAATAATACGCACTCAGTGTGAATCAGGTCCGAAATGAGAATAAATGCTCATTAGTCCATTGGTTGATGTTTGTGTTAATTTATCAACCAATTAAAGTTTCAAAAATGTCAACCAATTGATTTTAACTTGGTAGCTAATGAAGTGAAACTCTTGAATTCATTTCCAAATTAAGGTCCAAAATTTGCATTTACTGATGAAATCGCACTCAAAACAAAACAATTTCACATTATAACTGAGCTCATTTTCCTGGTTTAAATTCTTTTTATTTAAATGGTTTATGCAAACTATTTCAATTTTAGAGATAGATTCGCAGTTGAAAAGTCACTCAAAAACGATTCAGTGTAGTGTTGATTAATGTTAATTTTGTACTGTCCGACCATGAGATAGGATCTACGACCTTTAATTCTTATGGTCAGAGTGCTACATCTTAGACTACTAACTTAAGTAAAGTATCTTATGTTTTCGGATTCATTTAAATAAAATACTATTTCTGAAGATTTATAATACCGTAATTTATCAGAATGTTCTTTATTTTACTCACTATTGTTAAATCGACGTTGCATTGTTTACCAGACTTTATACCGGGTAATGCGAAAGTTAATTTCAATTGATTCACTTTATTTGATTGTTTATTTAAATTAGAATTAATTACTTTAGCGGACCATGAAATTGAATTTAGGATTCCTAATGTTGTATCATGTGAATTCACTGATGTTTCATTTATCTCTTCAATCAACACCTTCTCATTTGAACTAAATGATGTTTTTTGATCATAGTTTGATTGATCTGTAGAAAGTTTAAATGATTTTATTGAATTCGAACATAAATCAATATCATGATCGCTAACAGCATGATCATCATCATCATCATTCATAGTTGATCTAGAATTTCTTAATTCCATTAAAGTTTCTGGTGTTAAATTTTTTATCCAATCAATTTCATGATTAATATTTTTATTTGTTTGAATTGGTTTAATGAAATAACCAATTGATTTAAATACTTGTTGTTCACTTCCATATTTATTAGATGATTTTAATAATTTTGGACGTATAGGATTATTAGAATATTTTACACTATCAGATTCAATTGTTGTTAAAGATTTCTCATTTTCTAAATAATTTAATCCAAGCCAAATAAGTTGATAACGATTATCATTGTGTATAGATTGGCAATAAATTATTTCTTCATCATGTATTTGATCATTTTTTAATGATTCATTAAAATTATGCTCAATAAATACTTTCGGATTGAAAGCTAATGTGATAACATTCACTATAAAGAATATAAAATATTAACAAAGTTTAAAATAATTATTACAGAGTAACTTTATATTATTAATACTTAGACATTTCAAGATCGACCCAGAAACTCAAAGAAAATATCAAAAGGGGTTTTGTGGAGATTTTAGAAATTTCACTGATTGAAATCATGAGTCAATTGAAGCTAAACCATCATGGGAAATCTGGAAGCACTGGACGGCTGTCTCGTCCTAGTATGGGACTCCTCAGCAGTGCGCATCCACGATCCCGCACCCCGCAAGGTTCGAACCCAGGACTTGTCAGTCTCGCGCCAGGCGCTTAACCAACTAGGACATTGAGCCGGCATCTAACGGTGTTAATGTCTAACTTCAACCAATCAAAGAAGTTGCGCCACCGTACACCATTGTCTCCAATGAGTACCTATCTCACAACAGACCTGGTTGAACTCCACTGGTAACTCACTGTTGAGGAGTTCCATACTAGGATGAAACGGCCGTCCAGTGCTTCTAGGTTTTCCATAGTGATCTAGCTTCAATTGACCCATGATTTCAATCAAAGAAAATACACAATTAGTATTTAATTCTTGAAATTACTGTATAAAAGTAAATATGTTCTTTTTAATGTATATGATTATAATCTTAACCAGAAAGACTATGAAAACTTTACGACTGAACCATGTAGTTTAGAGGGAACAGCACTTCTAAAATCTCTGTCATTTCAAAATGTGTTTCATTTTTTAAGTTTTACTATGAACTACAGTACTGATTACCAAGTCAACATGTGTGAAATAAAACTATCTTCCTTCGATGTTTTAGAATTTTCTAATTTTCTAAAGAATCTTCCAACAACACAGAATTAAAGTATATTACAAAACAACGAACACGCTTCGAAATACTTTAGTTCGCTTAAAAGAAAAAAATCCTTTTCATGTCCACACAGAACTGCATCTACAAATTAGGTTGTATCGATTGTGATGCCTTCTATATTGAAGAGTCATCTCGACAAATCTTGACTAGAGTCAAGGAACATATTAGGTACACAAAGAAACCTCTTAACAATCCCATTATTTTTATTTATTTATTTATTTATTTTAACACATAAATATTGGTATAAGAGAGCGCCAATATATATGCGCCACACAAAACAATGAAAATTCGAAGAGAGAAAAGAAAAAAAAACTAAGGAGCACAAAAGAAAAAGATAACGATAACAAAGAGATTGGTGAAAGGTAGTGCGGTCGTAACGATGGAACGGAAAGGTACAATCAGAAGAAATCTTTCAAGTAAGGGAGACACAACCACTTTTTATGAAGAAAGTAAAAGAAGGTTACAGCAGGATCGCCACTGGCTTCTATTCTGAGCCATATCTGATAACGTCTCTAGCCACTGTGTAGCACCATCTCTCAGACCCCAACCAGGGAGTCGTGAAGGACCGACAGAAGCCAGTCCTTTGCAGCTTTCTTTCATACCACGACACCATGTCATGCACTGACCACCTCTCCGCTTTTTACAACCAGTCCCAGAGTCGGCAAATAATGCACGACGTGGAATTCTCTGGGACGACATTCGTAGAACATGTCCAAGCCACCGAAGTCGGTGTTTCAAGATGGTGACACCAATTGAATTATCATCTCTGTGCCCAAACACATGATGCCGAACCTCTGCATTACTGACATGGTGTTGCCACTGAATATCAGCAATCCTTCGGAGACAGCGATGATCGAACACAGAGAGTCGTCTAACGTCCTCAACTCGGAGAGGCCAGGTTTCACAAGCATAGAGCAAAACTGCTCTCACCGACGCGTTGTAGATCCGACCTTTTACAGCCAGACTAACATCACGAAGGCGCCAAAGATGGCCCAGATTGGCATAAGCCACTCTGGCTTTCACTATACGTGCATTGATCTCATCACTCACACCCCCACCAGCACTTATGCAACTACCCAGATACACGAACTTCTCGACTACTTCTATCTGCTCACCATCCAGGGTGAGTACAGGATTGGAATCCTGCCAGTCTTGTAGAAGTACTTTGCACTTCGAAGGTGCAAAACACATACCATACCTACGGACACTGATTGCCAACTGATTAAGTGCGGATTGCATGCCTTGGGCATTATCGCACAGTAAGACAATATCGTCCGCATACTCAAGGTCGAGAAGTCTTTCTCCAGGCAACAGATCCACACCACCATTACTTACATTCATCAGAGCTGTTTCCAGAATGTCATCGATGGAAAAGTTGAAGAGGAATGGTGAGATTGGGCAACCCTGCCTAACCCCACTACTCGTATAGAACAATGGAGAGAGGTGGTTGTATGCCCTCACTCTACCTGAGGTGTTTTTATATAGGGCTTTTAGGATGTTTATAAACTTCTCAGGCACACCCTTCCTCAATAGACAATCCCAGAGAACAGTCCTGTCCAACGAATCGAAGGCAGCCCTGATGTCAAGAAACACTACGATTGTTGGCCTTTGATAAGTATGGCGATGTTCTAACATTTGGCGGAGGGTGAAGATATGATCAATACATCCTCGACCAGAACGAAACCCAGCCTGCTCCTCGCGAGTCAATCTTTCCCGAGTTTTGAACAACCTACGAAGTATGACGGAAGCCAATAGCTTGGACGCAATCGGAAGTAGACTTATCCCCCGATAGTTGTTACAGGAACGACGTGAACCCTTTTTAAAGATAGGGACAACTATCGACTCATTCCATGACGTTGGTACACACTCTAGTTCTCAAACCTTTGTAAACAACGTCAATTCCTTAGTCAAAAAGTCACCACCATCTTTAAAAAGAGCCGGAGGTAAGTCATCTGGGCCAGGTGATTTGTAACGCTTCAAGAGTTGGAGTTCCTTGCGGACTTCCTCCTCGTTTGGTGGATCAGTCGTCACCGGCCATGGAGGGCAGGACAGCCTGACCGATGTTGCCGGAGCAGCAGGCCAGTTGAACTGCCCTTCGAAAAATTCTGCCCATCGTCCAAGACGTCGATGGATGTTAGTGATTGGCATCCCATCATCCTCGCAGATTGCTTCACTCACACCACACTTCTTGCTGCCAGTGGCTCGGATGAGCTGGAAGAGCTTCCGGTAGTTACCAGATGCAGCTGCTGCTTCCAGCTCATTAGCACGCTCCGACCACCAGGCTTCTCGGTCCTTACGCAAGCTTTGCCCAATTTCCCTACGTAACATCCTTCGTTTATGGTCAAACTCACGGTCACCCGGAGTAGACCGACGGGCTTCAATGAGTTGTAAGGAACCAGAAGAAACCTAGTGCTTATAAGCGGGACGTTTCGCAAACCCACAACTGACTGTTCCCGCCATTTTCATGGCGTCAAGCAATTGCAACCAATGCTCATCTATACTTTTCGGTGGAGTGGTAGCTAGCCTAGAGGCTAACTCGGTTCGATACTTATTTGCAACAGAAGTTGCAACCAGCTTGCTAACATCAATCCGTTGGTGGCGGTCACTTCGTTGTCCACTGAAAAGTAAGGCAAGATTGGCGCAGACCAAGGCATGGTCAGAGTCCAGATAGGTACTCCAAAAGGAGCGGCAGTCTTTTACACAACCACGCCAGCGGAAGCTGATCGCGATGTGATCAATCTGAGTCCAGGCTTGAGATGCAGAGGGAGGACGCCAGGTGGCACATCGGCGATGACTGTGCCGAAAGTTAGTGCTAGCCAGAAACAGGTTGTGGTCTGTGCACAGTTGCAGTAGACGGTCTCCGTTATCTGACCTGCGACCAACGAGTCCCCATCGGCCACCTAAACGACTCTCTTCTGTGCCTAGACGCCCGACCTGAGCATTCAAGTCTCCGGCTAGTACTACAATATCTGTCGAACGCACTTTCTGGAGAAGAACAGATAACTGGTGGTAGAATTCATCCTTGATTGCATCCGGGCTGCAATCTGTCGGGGCATAGGCGGAGATGACGAAAAGACATCGTTTCTCACGCCGATTTCTTCTCACTTTGATGGAACTTTCTAATCTAACAGCACATAGCCGACTGTTAATGGGGATCCAATCAACTAGTGCTGCCTCAGCTCTAGCGCTTAGTGCGACACCAACGCCAGCAAGACCAAACGAAGATGCCACAGGGTCCCCGGATAAGCGCACGTGAAACAAGCTTTTCGAAGCGACAGATGGAGATCGAATTTGTAGTACTTCGCCAGAGTCTTGAATACGGGTCTCGGATAGACAACAAACATCAATATTAAGACTTTCCAAAGACATAGCCAGCCCTATCTGTTGTCCGACCTGCACTAGTGTGCGAACGTTGAAGGCAGCCAGTTTGAATGGTGCACGTGGTTTCAGAAAAACTGCTTCAGTTCTCGTAATCGGTGGTAACATACAATTTTCAACCGGACAGTGACTCGAGAACGTTTAGATACAGTCGAATAATGGTACTAATAATAATAATAATAATAATAATAATAATAATAATAATAATAATAATAATGACAATAATGGTAATAATAATAGTATTATTAATGACAATAATAGTAATAATTATTGGAATCGATTGATTATATATCGGAGCGAGAAAATTCGTTGCCATAGTCATAGAGTTCATCGTTTGTGTGTGGGCTGTGATACTGCCCGGGTGCCCAAACCGAAACAGGTGGTTATCTTAGGGGGCCACACCCCGAGCCTTTGACCAAATGGTCTAACCCACAAGGCAGTGGAGCATCGTAAGGAGATGCAATCCCATGGTAGCCGGTGGCCAACGATTGGTTCATTCGCCATTTGTTCCCGCAGGATACTGGAGCCCATGTGCACCATTGGTTTGTGATCCGGTTAAAGCGCCGGACATTCGCTTTTCGTCCTCTCATTTTCGTAAACAACACCCCCGCCGCGAGAAGGCAATGAGTAGGACTTCCCTGACAGAGGCTGTATACGCGCGTCCGTGTGAGAGTATTTCGAGAGGGAGAGCGGACTCTCCCCACTCTCGGCCGTACCAGAATTGGATAAACTCCAAATTAAATCGGTAATAGCAGTTCATGTCATTTTCAACCACCACCAAATCGATTTCAAAAATATCAAAATATTGCAAAAAGGTTTTTCCAATTACAAAGAAAAGAGATTAGCTGAAGCATTCCATATAATGCGTAACCCTACTTCTCTCAGTAGAAAAGAAGGCCTTACCATAGATCCTGCTTGAACTATCTATCGTAGCCATTCAGTCTGATCTTATTTACAATTCACACTATCATCTTACAAATTAAACACTATCCTTTCTCACCATAAAAGTCACAATTTTTCATCCTTAAACAGTACACACATACATACACAATTTTACATACATATAACTTATCAATCACCTTGACCGAAATGATATGGCATTAACTAGTTCAGACCAGTTTTTGATTATTATTGTTCCGTTTGTACTATTTAAACTTGGATTAATTTTAATTTGGTTATTTATTCTCTGAAGAAGTGACTTACACTAAGTAACGAAACGTCAGGAAATCTAATTTTTCTACTCATTGGGCTATTACAAATATATTATTTATTTATAACAATCTACCCAATGCTCAACTTATTCGAAATTATCAAATCAAACCTTGGTAATACCTATAAAACTCTCAAGTCTCACGCTAGACGGTTATCTTTCAGACAGTTTATTCGTCATGCAGAGGTTAATACTCATAAAAGCAATCAGTTTATTTCACTGTAAAACCATTATTTATCACCTTTACAAAACGTTTAGACAATGTTTTCATTAACCTTCAAACTAATATTTTTACAACTTTACAAAACAAAACATGGTTCAATAACATTTTGGATGAAATAAATTCAACAGTTTTTTACTCAGTTACCTTCATTTATCATAAACATGTCACCACATTTCACAGGAATTGGAGTATCTGATGACTCAGGTTCTGGAATAATTGACCATTCACAAAAGTTGACTATTAAAGGTTCTTTGTTCAACTTAATAAAATGAAGTTTTTAAAAGCAAATATATAAACAAACACTAAAAGGCAATTCACAGTTTTGTTTTTAAGAAATATTAGTTACACGACGCGTACAAAACGTTATAAACTGACGACTGATGTTCCATGTAAAATCTCTAGATTTAAAAACGTAACATTCGTTTACTAATGTGATAATAAGTTCGTTAATCGAGTAAATATTATGCATGTTATTCTTCAAACTGTGAGTAGTTTAGATATTCGACACACTTTTAAATTCATGAATAAAAAGAAAGTGATTAGTCTATAAATAAATAACTAATTATAGAATTACAAGACGTATTCTGAACAAGAAAGTAACGCAGTTATGTCAAAAGCGAATATTAGCAATAAACGAAAACAAAACATTACAAGCTACCTTATTGAAAGGAAAGAAGTTCGCACTCTGTAGTTCTCACAACGAAATTGAAAGTTTGAGAATAGGGGACATAGTATCAAAGTAAAGTATGAAAAAAATATTATAAGCTCATTTCACCATACTGATAGTACTTGTTACAGTTTGCGAGGCTTAGAAATAGCTGAAATAAGTAGTATTCACTTAACTTCGAAAGGAGGAAACTGTATTTAATGCGGATTATGAATGGATTTCCAAAACAAAAGAAATAACGATGACCGATAGATGAAATACAATGATGCATTTTGACCGAGTAATGGATGCTCACGAAAATCTACTATAGTCGAGAACCCATAGTGACTTGAGACCAAAGTGTTGGTTTTGCTTTGTAATAGAGTAACATGCTTTTGGTGCAGTTTTGTTCTCTGAGCTGGATGGTTTGGTCGTGGAGCTTTCGTCGTTCTTCTGAACGACATCATTAGCACAAACTTCAAATAGTAACATGCTTAAATACAAATTAATAATATGAAATGGACATAACAAAATGTTACAGACGATTAGAAGGAATCAGTATCTCAACTCAGTCACCCTCCAATCAATTAAGATGTAACTCTCAGGCTCAATTCTAGGACGTTATACAATATCAAATAGAATCTGGAAAATATACAATCTTGAACTTTTATAGTAACGCAAAATACATATAGTAGTAACAAGTAGAAAAGTTAAAAACAAGTATATCATTCTATGAATAACTCTTCGATAAAATAAATCAACATATAATTGAATGTAAATTTTTTATCCTACTGTGTATTAATCCGGAAGTGTATATTTTTATTTCTAAAGCATTAATGGGAAACATATGCTCTGTCCTTGCCGTTTACTTTCATTTACAATGACTCTTCGGTCATCCTGAATCAATTAGTATTGTTACGAATCAATTCCAAATATCCTAACCTTTCCATAGATGAATTATTCTAATATTTACACTGAATCTGTTACAAATATATTTGCCTTTATCAATTACTCACAAGTATATTTGAGTACGTTTTCTGCGTTTGCATCGTACTATGTATGTGTCTATTCACTTCCTGCATTTCTCACGTGCATTGTAAAAACTGAGTCATCTTGTTACTGTCTGAGTAGCTGTATTGCCGAACTCCAATGCTTTGCTTAGTTGTAGTATCCTTTATTACTTGTTTGCTTTTCAAAGTTGGAATATCTGTGATACATGTATCCTTAAAACAATTTGTATTCAATTTTGATATGTTGTCTTAAGTTGACAAGGCCTATACGAGGTTCAGCAGGTTATATGTTATTATCATTACTGTCGATTATATTGAGCTCAGACAATTAATAATAAAATGACAAGCCTGATATGATTGCTACAATCCAAATTACACCTGACTGAACTTATTAACAATATATCATTAAAACATAGTAGTGTGTAGCATATAAATCATACAAGCCTCTGATCATGAACAATGTTCGTGAGTTACGCTTAAATACTTAAGGTAAGTAGTAAATCCAAAGTATTGATTGCATGCGTAAAGCTAGGGAGCCCCTCATGCTTTTGAAAATCACAAGGTAACGGTAAATGTTGACATACTAATACATTAAAGTGTAAAATGACAGCACTTATCACTGATTTGTACTTATGAAATATTTCGGAAATGTATATACGACGAACTGTTTAAAAATTTTCATCGTATCAAAATTGTGATATGTGAACAAATAACATTCTTTTAATTCAACTCTCTTTGACTTCAAAAGTTAACAAACAATTTATGTCATTACCTTCACTTACTTTCTGTGTAAGTTTAACAACAAATCTTATGATAGGTGGAGATAGAGTTTTATGAAAAGACTCCATTTGTCTGTTAATAAATTTTTGATAGCAAACCGGGTCATTCTCAGACATTTCATCTAACATTTTCCACAGTCGATTTGCATTATCCAGTAGTTTGTTATTGGACATGTTTAACTAAGTAAAAAACGGTTGATTATAAGAATTAGTTAGCTGAACACATATGTAGTGTCAATTTCAATCAAGTTATATTATACAACTAATAAGAAACCCGTTGAAACATGGAAGCCAACCTAAGTGTTGAAAATAGAAACTCGTAAAACCAGCTAGTCTGTGTTTCTTAAAAGTTAAACACAAGTTAATGTGTTCAAGCTTTTTAACTCTACCTTTGTTAAGATATAACATTTTAGAGTGGTAGCGCATTATCAAGACAAGTTTGTAACTATATTTCAGTAGAATTTCTAACTCAGGAGTAGAATAATACAGATAATGCTGTAGATCAATCAAGTTGCAAAGGATCACATTGTTCTTCAGATATCCGAAACCGCTGCAAAAAATGAGTGTAGTTTCCACCTGTTGATACTGTGAAAACTTGAACAAGAAGTCCGTTCATCCTTTATTAAGCTTCCTGTATGTTGACAAATGCGTATTAAATAAATAATCAGAATTGATAAATCCTATAAAGAGTAACTGAACAATGAAAAACTGTTTTGTGATTGTTAACCTAAAATAAAAAGAAATCCTAATCACATATTCATCAAGAATTGTCCTCAGTTAATCATTCCAAGTAAAGTGAATGGTTACGAAACCATTGGCCGAATCTTAAAGAACGGACACATTATCTACTTTGGGAGCACCAACAATACCATCTCTAGATCATTCTCATCAGGTCCTATGACTTCATTACTTTGGCACATTTTAGAATTACCCAAAATACTTCGAAAACATGTGGCAATAAATAATCAGTTCACAATTTCAACATACTGTGTGTGGGTCTCCAAATATTTATGTCATCTGCAGAGAGTAGAACAGATGTTTTTACTACAGTTCATAGGTCATTTACATAAAGTAGAAAAGGAAGGAGAACAAGGATTGAACATTGATAAACTCCACATGTTACAGATTCCCACGTTGATAAAGCCCCGTTCACCCATACCTTTCGTCTTCTTTCACTGAGAATGTTGCTTATCCAGCTTATAATTTTCATAATGGGTCCTGAAACGATCTAGTATTAACATAAGGCCAACATGAGAGACCGTATCAAAAGCATTATTTGCATCTGGGAAAATTACATCTGCTGGACCCCTTTTATCTCTCAGTGCAACCAAAGTTTCTCTTGCAATGAGCGGATTTGCCAAGCGTAAAATACCTTTCCTTAAACCATACTGTTCCATGGATAAAAGATTATTCCCATTCACATGGTTGGGAATGGCCATTCGAATAATGTTTTACGCACGCTTGACAACTAAACTGACTAGAACAACGAATGACTAGTTACTAACTAAGTCTCTACTACCCGCTCTATAAACTGGACCGATGATCGCATCTTTATAGTCCTTTGGGAGTATTGACTAACGCAAAGACATATCAGGTAGTATTGTCAGAGGTTCGACAATCACATTCGATGGCGTTTTCGTAATCATGGGATCAAGACCAACAGGAGTACTGGCCTTGACTGGTTTAATATGGTAAAATAATCGTAAGGCAGTTCCTTTCTCGATAACCAGAGGATCGATCAACAAGTCTTCACTATCATCATTGATGGTTGATCATTCACCATTGTTGGTAGAGAACATGCTACTAGGATCTTCTGATGAAACTCGAGCTTTTACAACATCATTTTCTGTCAATATTAACGGATTTACCTGCATCAAAAATGGTGGAATTCCATCCCCTCTTTGTAAACAAGAACAACCTTTCCAAACTATTTTCACAATCCCTAACCAATTGTTTCTCATACGAAAGTCTAGCCTTATTAATCAGTGCTTTTCATGAAATCCTAATTCTACAATAAGTTTATCTGTACTATCCACAGCCCTAGTGATAAATATACTTCAATGCTTTACTCTACGTCCAAGAAGTTTATTGACCGTTTAGCTTTCCGTTATAGAGACTTATTACGTCTACATGGGGATAAGCACGGTATTAACAAGGATTTTACTAAGCCAAGTGCGCTTTTAAATATGAACCGTGTTTTTTCAAGTGATGAGCTAGTATCTACTGTCCAGTCTGATGTTGCAGTACATTCCTGTAAAGCTGTCTCAATCTCCCCACTTCATGTGAAATTTGACGCGTTTTGAAGAAATTGCACCAAAACCCCTAAATTTTACCATATCTAGGTAAATCCTCAAATTTCTTGGGAATTTCTCCAAACTTTGGGGATTTCCCCAAAATTTTCTCCAACTCCAGTTTGGGGAGATTGGGTATACCCACGTAGATTTTGTATACCTACGCAGGTATGTTAAAGACAAAAGAGGAATACTAAAAGTAGTTGGTAAGTCATAGTAAGATGCTGTCCTTAACCCTTAAGAATATGTAACGTTTTCCCTTAAAGAAATCCTAGAAAGTCCCTTGGATTAGCTCAGCCGGCAGCCGATGCCAGTATTTGACCACTGTCAAGAAGTAGAAACGGTAAGACTATGAATTACGAACGACCTTTAAGCAACGCTAGACCAACCTTCAGTGTCCACATAACAACCAAGACCAAATGAGGGTTGTATATCTGTGTGAGGCATTAGGATGATTAAGCTTAGAAATTGGATTTCGGGCTTTCATCAGAAGGCGACATCAGTTATAATACTGAATCTTTATTTATCCAAATGGATAAGTGAATTTCGCGTCAAAATCCAAGACCTGTTATCCTACATGTGATTGGTTCGTCTATAAATTATAGTCTCGCCGTAAAAACTACTCTTATGGAGAAAACATTATGAAACATATCATAAAAATTCTGTCTATATCATAAATCCTACGTTTATTTTTGGATTACCGGCAGCTTTAGTCATTAATGACTTTAAAAACACGTTTGGCACTCAAGAGTCTGGTTGTTATGATTTAAATCCTTGCTCGAATAATTGAACTTCCAACGGATTCACTTTTATTTAGCACAATGTAATGTTCAGAATAGACCTGAACTCTTACAAACACAGTCTACGAAGTGATTTTCCTGTTAAAAAACTGGATATTTTAGCACTAAAAATTTCGGTTATCCTGAAATAAAACTGTTTCTTTTTATACTGTAGTGTTAAATATGCTATTTAAATAAATGGCTATGTAGTCCCTGAACTTTTGCTCGCCCTATTAGTTTTACTCTAAATAGCCCTAATAGCAGCTGAAATATGACGGTGCGTCAAATTATTCTTGATGTCCGGTTTCTTTAGCTTTGGCATCATTGTATAGGAAGAGATTTCAGATAGTGCCATTTCTGGTTGGTATATGTACACTACCACAGCTTTACCTTTTTGTGATGAGTTAGTACATAAATAATTTTTTCATTTCATAACCTTTGCTTCCGTCATTTTAAAACTCTTTTTCCCCCAATCAATATATAAGGCATAATTTACTCTTGAATAGGATTTTCTCGTGAGCAGACCATGATGGATTCATGGCAGCTTGCGGTTACGTGAACATGTGTATGATTATCTTGAAATCAAGAAATTCAATCTAGTGACAACAGATACCTTTTCAACATTCGAAGCTAAAAAGATTATTTGTAGAAAAATATTGTCAAGTATAAAAGGGCTAATGATATACGAACCGTTAAAGAAAACAGCTTCTGATAAAACTTGCCATCTATAAAGTTCACATCATTTTATAACTATCTGGGAAACACCAACACCTTTTCGTCCTACTCTGCTACTGTAGCTACTTTGCTGACTGTCGAGAAGGAATACACCGATATTGCAGGACCGAAATTGTCAGAATGCATTCAAATAATGGAGTGCGACCACTACCGTATGGACATATTTATGATGTGCGCTTGAATGATGAGTGTCGATTATCCTTAACCTTGTTGAGGATCGGCAAGCTTTTCATTATCCACTGAAACGACTTCTGGATGATTTGACCAGGGCTCTCGACACTAATCTAATACCTCCAGTTTCTAAAAAGTGTACTACACATGTATGTGTGTAATTATGTAAGTAATGCAATGAATTTGCTATTACTTACCATAGTGGCGGTGAACACTTCTTATCACAGTGACAAGTCAGTTATTTTTTAAAGGGTCAAGGGGAAAATAACCTATGAGCCCAGAATTCTTTTTGAACATTACCATGGTTTAACAAAAGGCTTATTCAAATAAGTTAATGTCTCAAGAAATTACAGTGATCACTAAGTTCAATTTATATGGATTAGAGACAGACTTCAAAGATAATGAAACTACGTTGTTCAAGGTGGCATTTAAAACTACGGATAAAAGGGTTAGATATCACGAAATGAATGTAAACTGCAATGACAAGGGATGTTTGTCCGAAAATAATTGTCGTTCACTGACTGCATAAAAGAGTGGTAAGTTGAAAAGGATATGGGGCTAAGATTGTGTGATGAATAATAAGGTGACATGAACGTACGTTTTTCAGTATCGACTTTTCGGGAGCGAATTATGGTGAAGCCACTTTGAGCGCAGCTAGTTCCACAGACAGACCCTGTCAGGTCTGATGTGATCCTTATGACAGAAGTCTGGCCGATCAAGTCTATGTACGATAGAGAACTTTAATTCAGGAATTTCATATTCGTATGAGCTAGCTGGATTATGAATTGTGGCTTGGATTTTTGAAAACAGTATTCTATTTAATGTCATTAAATGCATACCCATTGAAATAAAAATGTATGAGTTGATATTTAAAAGATAAGAGTTTTAGATTTCGGCCTTTCGAATCTCATGTGAAATCTAACGCCCTTAATCCTACCAGATTCGTCATAATCAACTACAGCATTGTGGACTGCCCTGATACTATTTGTGAACAATTTAACGTCCATTTCTTGTGACACTACAGCACAAAAATCTGAAATTTTATCAATACCCTTCCATTGCTGACATCTAAGCACCTATCCACAATTTAATTTGCATCCACCAACATCAAAGCAGACCATAACTGTCATGAGGAAGTTCTATGCCGGTGGATTTGTTGGCATCACTCGTAAAATATGGTACTAGAGGATCTTCATTATTTTTTCAAAACTATTAAACCAATCTATTTACTGTGGGGCCTATCCATCTTTATATAGGACGTTGCTTACCACTCCTAGATTCAAAACGGGGCCGCGTGGCGATATTACTAACTATAGGCCCATCAACTTGACCTTTGTGTTATCAATAATCATGGTAAAATCATCCGCACACATATATTATCATTCTTTCTGCAAGCCTAATTAGTTCAACATAGGTTGATGACTAAACATGCTTCACATCACACTTGAAATATTTCGATAAAATTGCTCAGAGGAAAGGCGCTGGTCAAATAGTGATAATTCTGTAATCCGATATTAGTAAGGTCTTCGACGGTGCCTCACACAGCCTTTCTGGTCACTTGGCATACTGTAATCCCCTTTTATCATGGTTCAAGTTCTTTGTAGCAAAATGTAGTCGAATTGTTAGCTATAGGACTTGTTATTTTTAGCCTGTGAATACAGCCAATGGTTTGATTAAAGGGAGTGTGATCGGCCCATTACTCTCCCTACTTTTCACTATTGACGTGTACTCACTGTATCAGCGTAGTAAACGTTTCCTTTCTACTAACGATCTAAAAGTGGTTTGTCCATTCTCGTCTCTTACCATATAAAGCTATATTTAAGCGTTAGTTCGAGAAGACATAAATAAGCAACACAAATGGGATGAGTCGTGGAATCTGTCACTGAATGTTGACTACAGTGGATTTATTTAAATCCCCTACAGTCAAAAACGAAACCTGGCTATACACGAACACATACTGAAACCTCTCAACACTTCCTGGCTTCGGATTGAGGTATAGCGAAGGTTTGAACCCTTCTGAACACACTGCATTTCAAGCATCCAAAGCGAGAAAAATAGTAGAATTCATATGTTTAAGCTTAAATAACATTGAATCGAGATTATCATTAGATAAAAAAAATGCCCATATCCATCTTTTAGTATAGTGTTCTAGTTTACAGTAATCACGGATATAATGAGCCGATTAAAATTAGAGTTGTTCAAAAAATATTTACCATAGCTGTTTTTATGAATCCTGGCAACAAGGATTACCACTAAAAGTGTCAACAACTTAAGTTAGAGCCTTGCTGGATTAGACACATTAAATTGAACCTTTTCTTTACCTACTGGCATATCAAAAGTATTTCATACTCTTCTGCATCCGCTACATCGTACTCTATCATATCACGCCATAACCTGGGCAATAAAAGAAATGTTCTGTCGATTCCGAGAACATACACAAACTTACACTAGAACTTCGTTATTTGCTATTCAGTCCTGAGAAACAGACTATCAATGTCTCCCCTTGATGACTTTCTTTCCGAAAGTAATTATAAATGAATGATTCAAGCAAGGTCCGATATCTATCCAACTGACTGTAAGTAAAACCTTTTAGTTTTTGTTTGCTTGTTCGTTTATTTTATTTGTCCCCATGCTTGTCATCTAGATATTTGAAGTCCGCTTACGTTCATACCTTTTATCATTGTTATTATTGCTATCATGATTGATACCCTGACAAAATGAATATTTTTTTCCTCATATCTTTTCCACTCTCTCTTTTACTTCAACACGAAGTCTTCTCCCAAGCATCCAAAGTTTGTGACTAAAAACAAATTATTTGGTGTTACACCTAAATATGTTGACTTTCCAGAATCATTTTATCCTATGAATTGATATTTCATCAACCTATGCAATTAAATGTAACTTTCATCGCACCATTATAAACTGCTCTGATTCTACCGTCAAATCTTACCGCATTAACGAATTATCTTTCTTATTTATATGTTCATTTGTTTTCGAATTCATTTTCTCACATAAATTGTAATGACCAAAATCCCAATATTTGGTTAAAACTGAGAACTAACAAATCAAAGCTTATGCGCTTGGGCCAGAGTACGTCCCTCTGCAGAATGTAACAAGCTTTCTTGAATGACTCGTATTAAGTTACATTAAAAGACAAACTGTGTGCTCAATTTAGATGGTTCTAATTTGGGGAAAAACAATAGTTCTAAAGTACAAAATATCTCAAATGGTGAAGCCTGTGCTATACAGTCAAGGGTTTCTCTAGCATAAACTGACGTACTATGCAAAAAACGTTTTTACACAAGAGCTTGGTACCTGATAATCAGTAAAAGTATTCTCAACAAGATGTGGTCAGAAATCTATCTTTAAGGATTTTGCAACCTTCTCCATACAGACAGTCGGAGGTTAACAGTCATACACTGGACCACGGCGTTACCATGAGTTTAGCCAAACACGATTTTATCGTCAGTGGTTCGGCAGCATGCGACAGTGAAGTTAAGTAACAAACGGTATGTCTTTAAGCAAGGCCAAGTAAAATAAGCTCAGACGAGGAAAACCGAAGAACATAAAGTACGGTTAAATAAAGGGTAAGATACAAAAGTTCTAGAATAAACAGGTAAATTACAATACTACCCAATAAAATGTTATGACGGGTTTCTCAGCATGTTCTTTCCGTCACTCATATATTAGTGTTTATTCTTATTTTGCTTCATAATTACGCTTGTTCAATTATTCGCATATTTCACGTTTCTTTCCCCAGTTTTCTTTATCTTTAGAATCAGCTTAATATTCCCCTAAATTCCAAAGAACCTGTTTAAATATGGCGAATATTATGCAAAAACTGTTTAAACGTGTGTATAATTGCATTTCTGAATTGGCTCGAAATGGTTTTTTCACGACGCTTATGTATCGATAAACCATTCGTAGATCATGCTAATAATAATAAAAACAGCGTGAGCAATGAATTTTTTAGTTCAGGGCCCCAAAATAACCCATACAAATGGTTTGAACCACCTGCAATTTGGCATTTAGCGACAAATGCCTGTAAGTGAATCATAAAGTAGATTGGTTACAAATGCACAAATTCATGCG